ACTTTTTCTGGTTCAGTTTAAATCGACTAAAGATTTATTCTTATTCTTTCCAGTTAAAGCCAACGCAGACATCTGCTGGTTCAGTTTAAATCAACCAAAGATTTATTTTGATACTTTTCCAATAGACATTTTTTCTGTTTCAGTTTAAATCAACTAAAGGTTTATTCTGATTATTTTCCATTTAAAGACAACACATACATCTTCTAGTTTAGTTTAAATCGACCAAAGATTTTTTCTGATACTTTTCCAGTCGATATTTTTTCTGGTTCAGTTTAAATCGACTAAAGATTTATTCTGATTCTTTTTTCAGTTAAAGACAACAAGACATCTGCTGGTTCATTTTAAATCGACCAAAGATTTATTCTCATACTTTTCCAATAGACACTTTTTCTGGTTCAGTTTAAATTGACTAAAGATTTATCCTGATTCTTTTCCAGTTAAAGACGAACGCAGACATCTGCTGGTTCAATTTAAATCGACCAAAGATTTATTCTGATACTTTTCCTGTAGGCACTTCTTCTGGTTCAGTTTAAACTGACTAAAGATTTATTCTGATTCTTTTCCAGTTGGAGTCAAGCTTAGACTTAGTCTAATTTCTATAAAAAATTATCCTGGATGGCATCTATAAGCTCATCTCTGACAACTCTCCATCATATCTCCAAATGGAATCTCTAAGCCCATTCCCGATATAATCAATAAACAATCTTCACTCCGTGCACATGCGAGTGAAAATTTATGGGCACTTTAGTGTTCAATCCTCTTCTACCTTCAAGTCACGAATGGGAGACAAGACAATCTAACTCTTCAGGTTTAAGAAGATTGAACAGGGGCAGCTGTTGTACCCCAAAATTTGCCCTCTCATTTCTCAAGACATTTCTCACCAAAGATCTCAATGCTCAAGGGTTCTCAAGGATTTGATCAGATAAGCTCACCTCCTAAGCATTGGGCCTCTAAATTAGGGTTTTGCTTATATCAAGGACAATTGGACTATAGATGCCTTAAATGACTTTCATAGTTCATTATAGATCTTCAAGATTTCTCATACCAAGTTTCAAGCCTTGCATCATAAATTTGCTTAGTCAATTGCTCAGATGACTGAAAATCAGTTGTATTGGGTAAAAAGTCAACTGTGGTCAATATACAGTCAAACTTCATGGTTTTTGGTCAACACCAAAATTTTGAAGTGATATTTATCAATTGACCAAGGTTTGATTATAATGCCTCAAGAAAAGGACTAAAATCATTAAAGGAACAAATTTGTCAAAATTAGGGTTTTTACTGAGAAGGACTGGTCAATGACTTTTGACCTAGTACATGACCTAATGGATTGAAACATGATCTCAAGGACTAAAACACAACATGTTGACCTAATTTTATGGCTCAAATCATTTCTCAAGATCAACGAATTGATAATTGAAATTTGATCAACTGATGAAAAGTTAACTGATACACAAAAAGTCGGTCAACATTAAATTTCAAAGATCAAAATTCATCGAGACATTAAAAAATATCAAACTTGATCATCAAGAATCAAGAAAGTCAAAAAGTCAACAAAAAGTCAAGATTTCAAAGACTTAGAAAAATTCTAAGTGTTTTAACCTTGATAATTATTTCAATACTTCGTGACAAATTTTCACCAAAATGCAAGATGATTCAAGGAAAACTTTCAACATGAAAGTTGTAGATCTTAATGAATTCTACAACTTTGTCGCTTAGGGTTGATGTCCAAAAAATGCTTATATTTGAAGATATAGGCTCATGAAGTCATGACCTTTTACTAAAAACACTTAGTGAAATTTTCAACAAGTTTAGGCTGATTTTTGACCTAACTTCTTGACCAATTTTCACCTAGTTCCAAGATGATTTAGCCAAAGTGGTCAACGTGAAGGTTGTAGACAATGTTTCAAGCTTTCCAAAATGTCAAAGAACTTGAAGAGATCATTTTTGAGCTAGGAGATTCGAAGAGATGAAGTTGGGTATCTATTCTTGAATTACAAGTCATTTTCTTGATGAACACATAATCCAATCTCAATGTTATGCTGCATAATCTTGCTTTGCAGGCATTCTAACTTGTGTATCTACCCATAATTAATGAATTAAACAAACTTTTTAGCTATGATCCAAGTGGTTTAAGCATTGTCCAAGTCAATTTGCCATTTTGGAGAGAAAGTTAACATTGTCATTCTTGAAAAGCAAGCTTTATGCACAAAGTAAATTCTTGAGCCTCTCATTTGTTCCCTCTGATCACACTCCATCTACAAGGTCAGAAGTATTGTGATTAAAGTGTTTAACCACTCTATGATCAAAGGTACAAGACATTGAAACTTGATTTTTCAAGAAAATCACATGTTGAGCTTAACATGTGATTTTGAATTCTGATCAACTTGAGCATTCCATTCCTCTTCTCTATAAATAGAGACACTATTTTCAAGCCAAGACACGAATTCAATAGCCCTCAAACTCTCTAAAACTCAGAATTTCACACAAACCTCTATTGTTGACATTTCTGACCAAAAACTTCAAACACTCAAATTCCTCGTGCGTTTTCACTTCTAATCATTTACAAAACATCTATACATCATAAACAACTCATCCCCACCCCTGTTTCACAACTATAACTCCATCTTCATCATCTCCAAACTCAAAAACTCAGCTCTGCAACTTGACTTCTCCAGCACGATTCAACCACTTTCAACACAAAGTAAGAGTTGCATTAGCTTCCTAGGAGTCCAGTGAAGCTATCCAGATTATCACAACACTTCCAGGGGTGCTCAAACTCCATACATGATTTCCAGTTTTGAGGTAAGTTTTCTCAACTTTGAACTCTCTCTACAAGCATCATTAATTGTTACTTCGTGAATAAAAAATATAGACATCATAGCCCTGAAGCTAACCATACCATTAGTTTTCATTTATGTTGCCCGAGTGATGCAAATTTTGAGTTGGAACTTTCTGAAAAAATTAGGTTTTATTTGGTATAAACAGAAATTCATGTTCATCTTTGATTTATAGTTTTAGTTGTTTACATGGTTGAATTCATATTGAAAAACGGGGTAAGTTTCATGTTTATACTTTTGCAAATGGTTTAGAAATGAGCAAGATCAGAAATTCAAAAATCTTGTCAATGGCTTCTGGCGTGAGGTTAGGGATGAAGTTATAATCAGGGCTGGGTTTACTTTAAGTTTATTGCAACTTGTTCTCTACACGGATGAAACAACCATCCTAGTGGCAGAGAAATTGCACGTAAGGCATTAAACTATAGAGACATGGGTTTAAGCCCCAGTGGTACCCTTTTATGTTTTTTCATGTTTTCCTTGCAGATTCAATGCGTACAAGCTCAATACGCACGCCATACACCCTCATTCCTTCACCACATAATCATCATAGGGTCTCATCCAATACACCACAAAACAAGCACATGGTATGTCTTAGAAAGCCAGCCATATGGGATCACCAACAGCGCTGGGCTTCCAACACTTGGGCCTTTTTTCTGTTTTTATTTTTACTTATTCTCACCCCCATTTTACTTATACTCAGGCCCATTATTTATTTTTATTTCTCCGCTTTCAAACAAAAAAGGAACAAGTTTGGGCCTGTTTGCTAACTTTTAACCCTATTTTACTTTTCAACACCCCAACCCATTTCTTTTTATTTTTTATTTATATTTTCATTGTTTTATTTATTCATTTTATTTTATTTAACCAAAAAATACCAAAATATATTTTCTTAAATAATTAAATAAATAAATAATTTTCACTTAAATATTTATTTATTTTTAGTTAATATTTAGAACTAGATTTTTGTTTAGTTTACACACTTATTCGTTCGAGTCTTTAGTGGAGTCACTCTGATATGTAACGTCGAGGACAAGCTGCACTTTTGTTTCTTATTACATGTTTAAGTTATTTCGAGTTGTTAAACCAATTTTGATTATTTTGCTAATGATGAGACTTTGATGTCAAACTTATTTATTGTTCCGTTGCATATTTTCTAAAGAATAGTTGTTTTGGTTTTTATGATTGGTAATTCACGCGTGATACTCTAATTAGTTGACTGGATTTTCTTATTCTATGTCGAGACGAAAATTAGGGTGTTACAACATGTCTATTTTGTCCATATTTTTCTTGGGACAAATCAAAATTTTAGGTCCGCACTTAGAGATGAGAATAGGTCAAACCGACATATAGAGGCCTATAGTTTGACCTATTTAAGCTTAGTCTGACCTAACCTATTTAATAAGGAAAAAATGAATATGTATCTACTAAGTAAAAATAGTTTTACACCGTCAACCAATGACAATCATATATTCTATCATGTCATACTAAATTTTTTAAATAAGTTGTATGATATGACAAAATTCTATATTTTCATTGAATGATAGTGTAAAACCTAAATATACGGCCAGTATTTAACTCATTTTTTAAATATATATATATATATATATATATATATATATATATATATATATATATATATATATATATATATATATATATATATATATATATATATATATATATATATATATATTAAGTTTTATTTAGAAAGAGAGTTTTTTTGTCTAGACGAAATTCAAACAAAAACTGTTCAAAAAGTTTTTTGAATACGTAAATTAAAATGAATTAAAATCTATTAATTATTACTAATCAGTAAAGCAAGAAAAAGATGAAATTCTTGAAAATGACGAAAGCAGCCTCATCGGATGTCACTGGGTTGTTTACCGGATAAAAAACACTGCACTGGCCCATCGATTCAAATTTCATAAACAAAAATTCAAATTTTTCTCATAGATCTTCTTCTTCCTTCTTCTTCTTCCTCTTTGTTCTCCGCGTTCTTCGTTCAAGCTCCAGTTTTCTTCTTTCTTTCAACTTTTTTTCTTGATAAATTTACCAAAAAGCCCTCACCTTGTCGAGAAATGACAAATCCTCATCTATCTGCATAGCCGCCATCAACCAATACCAACCACCATAAACCACCGATCTCCGATCCCGGAATCCAACATGATTGTTCGCACATACGGTCGACGCAACAGATCGATTTCCGAAACGTGCTCTGGTTCTTCCCTAAACGACAACGTATCAGAGCCCTTCTCAACAGACGCTCTTACCCAAGAACAAGACACTCACTTCCGGGGATTCGCTTTCTCTTCCCAAGATTCTTCCTCTCAGTGGTCTTTATTCGATTCCGACCCCAATTCAATCGACGATTTGTACGGAGCAGATCGCCGGGAGTCAAAGAGAGCAAAAGGTGTATCTTTTCCGGCGACGTCGACACTGATGGAGGCGCAGGAGTTTGGGGAGATGATGGAGCATGTGGATGAGGTTAATTTCGCTCTCGATGGACTTCGTAAGGGTCAACCTGTACGGATCAGAAGATCTAGTTTGGTTTCTCTTTTGTCAATTTGTGCCACTACGCAGCAGCGGAGGCTTCTTCGCTCTCAAGGGTATGTTAATTTCTTGTGAAATCTCTCGGTTTCTTTTGAATTTCAAATATCTATGTTCAACGTAAAATGGGTTTATCTGAATTTCTTCTTTTATGTTCTTTTGATTAATTATAGTGTTCTTTTTGTTGGGTTTTCATCAAAATTTTGAATTTTGCCTGGGTGAAGTCGAGGGTTTTATTTTTTTGTTTTAATGTTGTTACTAGTTTCTTGTTTTATTCCATTGGATGTATTGAGGTTTCAAATGTGGGCACTTCCAAATTTTGGTTAAATTTGGTTGTTTATTCAAATATTTATTAATACTGTTTGGGAAGAACATAAAGGGTTAGTGTTTTGATCCGTCTTGTTGGTTACTTTCCAAATGAATCCTAATACGACATGAAGTGTCACTTAAATAATTCTTTTCAAATGGTGTGAGATGAATTATCGTCCACGGCAATAAGGTTGTTCCACACAGTTGCTTTCTCGCTGATTAGAACCTTGAGACTGTTAGCTTTGCCCTCTCAATCATTAAACTCTAGTTTGCTTCCTACCTGTGCTCTACCCTCACGGAGTGATTACATGCCTATTGATGCAGTGATAATAATGTCAAAGTTTTCACGTATAGATTCACAATTGAAATGAATCTTAATACTTCTTTTATCATGTGCGTGAGTATTATGCAATTGTCGGGAGAGTGAGTACCGACACAGGATGGTATTTACTTTTCTATAGATCTTTGTTTAGCTGATAAAATACCAATTTTTATGCTTTGTTTATAGGATGGCAAAGACAATAGTTGATGCTCTTTTGGGCCTCAGTCTCAATGATTCTCCCAGCAATCTTGCAGCTGCAACCCTTTTCTACATTTTGACGAGTGATGTAAGTCGTCTTTTGTTTGTGAAATTGCAGTTGTATTGAATTATAAATAAGCTATGGTTTGACATGTGTAGATTTTCAATCGTGATTCTGAGTTGGAAAGAACAGTGAAACTGATGTATTTTAATTTCACTTCACAATTAAAATATCTGCTAAACTAATTTTGGTGGGCATTAACATTCCAACTTACAGTCCACAATTATTTTTCCATTTGTTTACCATAAGTCTTCATTTTAATTAGAAAATTGGAATAATCAATAATCAATAATTAATAATTTCAATTATTTTATTATTAAAATCGTTTTAGAATCATAAATTCCATGTTCGATATACTCCCTCTGATCTCAAGCACAAGCAAAAATTTCTCTGTATTTTGTTGTGATAAATTGTTTCAGAATCATAAATTCTATGTTTGAATTACTCCCACTACATACATAGGCTTTTTTGCTTATATTTGAGACTGAAGGTTTTATTTGTACTTGACTTCCAGTGGCATTTAGTTCTGTTCTGGTACTTGACTTGGAGTCTAATTTATCAATATACACATCGACTGTTTCCCCTAATTTTTACTGGCTGTTCTTTTGTCTCAGGGTCAAGATGATCATCTCCTTGAATCACCGTCTTGTGTTCAATTTCTAATCAAGTTGTTAAGACCAATTGTATCTACTGATATTAAAGACAAAGCACCGAACATTGGCTCTAAACTTCTATCACTGCGTCAGAGCAATGACATGCTAAAAATAATGACGTCAAGATTTGACTCCAGTTCTGTTGCAGTTTTTTCTAGAGTCCAAGAAGTTCTAGTTAACTGCAAAGACCTAAAAGCAACGTGTCAAAATAGTAGTGGGACTGAGAGGCCAGAGTTATGCCCAAAATGGTTAACATTGCTGACTATGGAGAAGGCTTGTTTATCTGCCATTTCTCTCGATGGTATAATAGAAAGCAGTTAATTCAACCTTATCTGATCCTTCTAATGCAGATGTTGATTTCACTGTGAAAAAGTAACATAGATAACCAAATCTGTTCAAGTATAACGTTGCTAACGGTTTAGAACTTATTAGTAAAGAGATTTTGGAATCAATCTTATTACTTTTATTTCTTCTCAGTTTCTTGGTGTGCCGTCCTGATATTGAAAATTAATGAGTTTCATCTATACTGAAGCTAAATTCTAGAGTGTTCTATTTCTCTACGTATTTCTCCATAACCACCCGTAAATTAATCAAAATCTTTCATTTTTCACATGTAAATTACGATTTCTGTTGTGCACTTTCTCTACATGCAAATTATTGTTAAATTTAAAAGTTTATGATACTTGTTCAGGAGCTAACGCATATACTTTAGTAGTATTCCATGGTCCTGCTGACTGTACATATTATTCTATAGAACTTCTGAATTGAATCTTCTACCGATGTTCTTTTATATTTTTTTGGATGTTATGTTAATGGGGAATTACTTGTCTACAGAAAGCACAGGTGCTGTACGGAAGACTGGTGGAAATTTTAAGGAAAAACTAAGGGAGCACGGAGGACTAGATGCAGTTTTTGAAGTCACCATGAGTTGTCATTCAGATTTGGAGGTGTGTGCTTGTATGTTAGTTCAAGTTCAAAATGAAATATGGTTTACTATATTTACAAATTGCAGTAGACATGAATTGATAGGCTACAACAGGGAAAACATTTTCTGATGGATATTTCTTGCTCTGAGATGTGATATTGTACTTTGTCAATCAATCACCAATTCTTTTATATTTTTATTCTTAAATAAAAAATCATCTGAAATCCATGGAATTGTCTTTTCAGAATTGGAAGGATTATAGTTCTCGGTCTGCCAAAAATTTGAGAATTGATCAACGTCTGAAGTGTCTAACCTTGCTTCTTAAGTGCCTGAAGATAATGGAAAATGCTACTTTCCTAAGCAAAGACAATCAGGTTGACATGTGTTCTTTACCCTGTATTAAATGTTTTTTTTTTAGACTTAGTTTTTGTTGACTTGGGTTTTGCATGCGTGACTTTCCATCTGTGTTGGATGATGCATACTGAAATTTTTGATGCATTCTGAAATTTTTGATGCATTTGTAGCTTGGTGAAGTTGTTAATTTATCAATCTTATACTTTCTCATTATAGACTCATTTGCTTGGATTAAAAAGAAAATTGAGTCCCAAGGCTGCTCCATTGTCTTTTACGGAGCTGATTCTAATTGTCATAAAGATGCTCTCAGGTAATGATCATACAAGGGGTAACTTCTGACTTGCTTCCTTTTCCTTATTTAATAATTTTATTTTATTAGTTTACATTTTTGTTGGATCATAGCTTTTCTCCCCTTTCTCATTTGTGCCATAAACTACTATTTCCTAGATCTATGTTTGCGTCAGAGTGCCACTGATGTGTCCACTGTTGACAAGCTTAATGACCCTTTCTCTATGCTCAGTGATGATTCTGAATTGGATCAACTCAGAGACTATAAAGGTACTAGATTTTTATAATTTGGTCATGAAACTCTTGTTTCTGGTCATGGTTACTGTAGTTATATGCGGAAAATTTCCAAATCACTGCAAATCCTTTTAACACTCACTTATCCTTTTCTTCTAGACAGAAACTATTGCTTCAACTGTTTTCCTTTTTGAGGAGGGTACAGCTATTATTTCTTTGTCTTTCATTAACATGCGGAAAAATGAGAATGTAAGAGAGAAGGATAAATATTTCGTGGTAGGGCATGCATTAAGAAATAAAAGGGAATGGATTTGGGCCAGAGGTTCCATGCATATGCTGAACTTTACATTTATGTTTTATTTTCTGTTCATGTATTTTAAGCTGCTAATGTCCATTATTTTTATCAGCAAAAATCAGTTTTTCGGTGAAACAGATACTTTACTAGACACTAGTTTACTTTTTGGTATTGAGCTTCACAGAGTAAGAAATAAAAGGGAATGGATTTGTTTGGGCCAGAGGTTCCGTGCATCTTTCTGTTCATGTATTGTAGCTGCTATAATCTCCATTGTTTTTATCAGCAAAAATCAGTTTTTCGGTAAAACAGATTCTTTACTAGACACTAGTTTACCTTTTGATATTGAGCTTCACAAAGTTACTTCACCTGTGTAACCTGAAAGATATCATATCTTAACCCTTGATTTGATTTTATTGTTGTTAGGAAGGAGTTATTTTCAATTTAAATTTGAAAAAGTGAGCTATGCCATTAGGATTAGGATCACAGATTGTTTATTAAGGGTGTGGTGATGTATAGAATGGCAATCATTGTTGTGCCTTGTATTTAATTGTGTTGTATAACTGTCTTCCAAATTATTTGGGTTTATGTTAAACTGTTGTTGTGTTCTTTCTAGCTTCTTAAAGTTATATCAGTCATGTCAAATCATTTGGATTTGAATATGCTTGCCGAATAAGTTTGTCTACAGATTTTTTGAATGCCCTTTCATTTGAATTTGCAGAGAATAAACCTGTATCCATCAGTTCCGATAGTAGTTACTTTGGCGTGGGGAGTAGAAATTACTCTGATGTGGAAAAGGCCTCTTCTATTAAGAATTCTAATGTTTCTCATAACACCCAACTGTTGACATGTGCTCAGTTGGAAAGATCGCTGTCCGTTTCTGAAACTCCAAGCACATCAACAACTGATACATACTCACTAAAGATGAGGATCAATTCATGCACATCTGGGTCTTCCAGTGGTTTATCAAAGAGTTCGTACCAAAAAAATTCCACGACCCAAAATAGTTTCAGGAAGAGTGTTCACTTTACTGAAGGCCCTCCAGTTGTAGTCTTGGACGATTGCCAAGATCCTTTTGCATTTGATGAGCATGACAGTGGTTTCTCAAAGAGTTCGCACAGTAAAAAATCCACAACCCATAATAGTTCCAGGAAGAATATTCCGTTTACGAAAGGTACCCCAGTTGTAATCTTGGAAGATAGCGAAGATCCATTTGCATTTGATGAGGATGACAGTGGTTTATCGAAGAGTTCATATTGTCAAAAATCCATGTCCCTAAATAGTTCCAGGAAGAATGTTCAGTTTACGGAAGGTACCCCTGCTGTAAACTTGGAAGATAGCGAAGATCCATTTGATCAGGATGACAGTGGCTTATCAAAGAGTTCAAACTGTCAAAAATCTATGACCCTAAATAGCTCGAGGAAGAATGTTCACATTACGGAACGTACCCCAACTGTAATTTTGGAAGATAACCATGATCCCTTTGCATTTGATGAGGATGACATTGTGCCCTCTCAGTGGGACCTACTATCGGGGAAACACAAACCATCTCATTCTAAAAAACATAAGGTAGCAAATAGAAAAATTGAAAATGAACGGCAATCACAAACCAAAATGAGTCAAGAAAATGAACATCAATCACAAATCAAAATGAGTCAAGAAATTGAACATCAATTGCAAACCAAAATGAGTCAACAAGAATCAAGTGACGGGAACATCGATTGTTCCAGTTCTGACATCAGTTATGAAGAAGATTCTAGCCTTCTAAGTGATTGCCTCCTTACTGCTGTTAAGGTATTTTACTGGATATAGTGTTTGTTCTATGTATCATTTATGTCAATATTTTCTCATAATTTTATGGATAATTAAGCGGAGGTGGAGAATTTGGTTACCTATGATATGTAGTTATCTACGGGTTATGTGTAGGTGCAACCTGGAGTTGTTTATGTCAGTGTTGTACGTTATACTAACCCCTTAGAGAAATATCTGCTGTATGTAACTGTTGTTTTGCTCTTGTATACTGATATACCTATTTGTAGAACCAGTGTATACAGGTCTCTATTCGCCCCTCATTTTAATTTTTGGTTTATATATATATATACCCTGCAAATGTGTCACTTTTGGCTTTAGTCCCTATAATTTTGTTTTTTGATTTTGATCTGTGCAAATGTATATTTTACTTTTGGTTCCTTGTTTTTTGTTTTAGTCCCTGTAAATTTGGTTTAAATTTAGATTGGTCCCTGTTGAAATTAATACTCCCTCCGTCCCAAATTAAAGTCACTTTGCTAAAAATATTTGTCCTAAATTATAAGTCACTTTACAATCCCAATACAACATTAATGACTTTTTGTGTAATATATATATCCTCTACTATTTATTTCTCTTTCTTCTTTCTATTCTTTTAATTTCGCTTTCCAATATAATTATTGAAGGGCATTTTTGTAAAGTCATGCATTATTTCACTTTTTTCATAAAGTAATGATTGTATTTCTCAATTCATGTGAAATGGGCAAAACGTCCTATAATTTGGGACGGAGGGAGTATATACTCTAACTGGTGCTGTCTTATTTTTGTAGGTGCTTATGAATTTGACTAACGACAACCCTATTGGCTGTAAACTAATTGCTGCCAATGGAGGACTAGAGGCTATGTCTATGTTAATTGCTGGTCATTTCCCTTCTTTTAGCTCATCGCCATCCTTTTCTCAAATAAAAGAAAACTCTTTGAGAACTGAAAAGGACCATCTATGTGGTGATAGGCTTCTAAATGATCACGAGTTGGATTTTCTTGTTGCTATTCTGGGCTTGCTTGTAAATCTGGTTGAGAAGGACAGTCAAAACAGGTAATTTGATCTATTTCTGGACTGGAAGTTAACTACGAACTAGTTTGGCATTGTAAAATAATTGTCTATCCCATTCAAGATTTGTCACTCTTCTTATGCAGATCACGGCTTGCAGCAGCCAGTGTTCTACTACCTTCTTCAAAAGGCTTGGACCATGAGGTTCGGCGGGATGTTATTCAATTATTATGCTCTATTTTCTTGGCTAACAAGGGTGAAAGTGAGGCGGCAGCTGGGGAAGATAAAAAATTTGAACTGGTGGGTAGCATTTTCAATTTTTCCTTAGAGTTCTTGTTTTACACGTTGTTTTCGTTATACACATTTGAACTGATGACTCATCACTCAAGACTTGTAATGTAGGGGAAAAATATTTGAAATAGATTGCGATTGATATGTTTTAAATAATCTTGTTTTCATCATGCAGAACGATGAGGCAGCTGTTCTACAAGGTGAAAAAGAAGCTGAGAAAATGATTGTCGAAGCTTACTCTGCGTTGCTTCTAGCATTTCTTTCCACTGAAAGGTTAATTTCCTTTGCTTTTCAATTTCCTTTAGTTCATTTCTTCGTTGCATATTTTAAGGTCCCCAATTAACTCTTTTGATCTCCAGCAAGAGCATCCGCGAATCTATTGCTGACAATCTTCCAGATCACAACTTGGCTAGTCTTGTACCTGTGTTGGACAGATTTGTGGTATGTACCCTAAACCCTAATAGTCATAATACCATGGCCTGTTCTTAATAGATGCCCGGGGCTTCCCTTTTTAATACCATTGCTGTCTTTATCTGCAGGAATTTCATCTGTCTTTGGACATGATTTCACCAGAGACTCATAAAACTGTTAGCGAGGTCATCGAATCATGTAGAATTCGGTGAAAGATCAAATGAAAAACTCTGTACAGCCACATCTTGCTTTAGGATTTGTTGCTACTCCGACGGAAATGGAATTAGTGCAGCTCACAGCATTAGAATCCGACCAACTTTTATGTGCTGCTCTCAATGCTCTTACATTTATTTTTATATCACCGTGCTGGTGATGCGGAAATGCTTGAATACAAAAATCAAAAGGCGGATGCATTCCTAGCATAGTCTGTGTGTAACCAATAGTCGTAATTTTTTTTTGTTGATATTTTTCTTTATTCATCCATATTCATGTATTAGAAGAAGCTCATAATAGTCCATTTCAATTTCTAATGTCCTTTATTTTGCAGCAACTTGATACCTAATCAAGCTGAATAGTCTTATTTGATCAACATAGTAGCAGAGAGTTCTGAATTAATATCCACTCTTTTAGAAAAAGCCATGTAATTCATAAGCTGTAATTGTGTTGCCGCAGTGGACAATCAAGTAACATATTATAATGTACTTTAGTATTACTGGAAATCATAAGCTTATGACTATCAGTCAAAGGAGAATTTAACAAAAAAATATAGAGCTATTTCTCTCCCTTTCTAAGAAAACCATTCTGTAGGGGTAAACGGTTCCTAACAGACAAAAAACACCTAATTTTTTTTGGTCTTTTTGCATGTGCTTGATGCAAGATTCTGGTTATCAAGAATTAGTTTGTTTCTTTTTTTTGAGAATGGATTGGGATATCACCTACCAGGTTGTCTAACCAAACTTGATGTATTTCTATTGATTGGTATGGAGAAATATCTATAAACTGAAATTCCTAAATAGTCTTTTACTACCCACTAACAATTGTTGTTCCATTGTTATCCATTTGTAAATAAAATACTATATAAATGGCTAAGATAAGAAGAAATAGAATGCACAGCAATGCCAATCTTTAACTGAAATTCACAATCTTCCAAATCACATGTCAGTCTTTCTGCCAAGTTCTATGTCTTTCTTCACCATCTTTCCACTCTTAGTCTCTCTTTTCTTCATTATCAAATGGTATTCCAACCATTCTGCCACCAAAAAAAACTTACCACCTTCACCTCCAAGGTTTCCTCTACTTGGTAACCTCCATCAACTTGGCTTATTTCCTCACCGTACACTCCAAACTTTAGCTCAAAAATATGGTGCCGGTGGTTGTAGTTTCCTCTGCTGATGCAGCAAGTAAAATAATGAAAACTCATGACTTGGTTTTCTGTGATAGACCCCAACGTAAAACCTTTGATATCATGCTGTACGGTTCCAAAGATGTGGCAAGTTGTGCATATGGTGAGTATTGGAGACAAGTAAGGAGTCTCCGCGTGTTACATCTTCTGAGTAACAAAAGAGTTCAATCTCATCGCCGTGTTAGAGAGGAAGAAACTGCGAAGATGGAACCGCCACTAAATGGTTGAAAACAAATAAAACACTAAAATTCACGTGAGAGATCTATCTCTCACAATAGACGGCACCCTTACTAGATGTTACATATTTCTTTTTTGCTTTTACAGATTTAATTTGTACAAATAAGGTACATATTTTTTTTCATAGTATATTTAATCTTTTGTTTAAATGCTTGAACACAAATAGTTATCTTGAAGAAGTGGTTGAGATCCCACCACGCGTGGATATTGTCCAGCAAAAGACAAATTACATGAGACATTTTTAATAATGAGAAATTTTTATCGAAGGAGTTAATGAAGAATATAAATTGTTATTATTGAAGGTGCTAAAAAATTGAATTAAATGATATATATATATATATATATATATATATATATATATATATATATATATATATATATATATATATATATATATATATATATATATATATATATATATATATATATATATATATATATATATATATATATATATATATATATATATATAATGTAAACTTTAGCTAATAGAATATATAAAAGGTTACTTGTATTTTAAGTAACTAACAAAACAAATCCTAACCATAACTAACTTGAGCTTGGACTACAATTTAAATTATATCACAACACACTTCCTTATAATCCAAGTGATCAAACAAAAATTATAATCGATCTGAATTATTTTAAATTTCTTTCTCAAAGTTAGGAATATGTCGATCTTTAATACTTTGATGAAAATATTGGCCAACTGTGCTTCACTTGAACAATGCCTCACTTCAAGTTCACATCGATTTACCTTTTCCCTTAAGAAGTAAAATCTAATTTCGATCTACTTACTCCTTCCATGTAGAACTAAATTCTTTGTAAGATTTATGACTGGCTTGTTGTTGATCTGCAACACCAGAAATTTCTTCACTTTGACCTCCATCTCTTTCAACACAGACTTGATCCATATTTCTTGACACATAACACATGATCCAGCTATATGATCAACCTCACACGACGACAATGCCATCTGTTATACCCCAAAATTTGCCCTCCCATATTCCTCAAGAAATTGCCAAGCCAAGTCACAAAATTCCCCAAGGGTTGCACAGTGCAAGGGCCTCCTAAACAGTCAAAATTAGGGTTTTGAGTCTGATCAAGAAAAGGAAGTGTTCAAAGGCCCAATCAAGTCTCATATGCTTACAAACATGGTCAAGCATCCTCATATCAAGTTTCAAGGCATTCAGCTCAAAATTGCACAGTCAAAACCCTAAATTGCACTACAGTCAACTGTAGGGGCAAAATGGTCATTTGACAGTCAAAAGTTCAAATTTTTGGTCAACATATCATTTTGAAGCCACAAACATCATTTGATCAATGCTTGATCATGATTCTCAAAATTTGGCTCAGAAATCATCAAAGATGCAAAAGTTGCTATATTTGGACAGCTGAAAAAGTCAACTGAAATTGACCAGAGCATAACTTTCACATGGATTATCAGAAAAATCCCATCCAAAGCTCATTTTGAAGAGAAAGACATTTCCTACAACTCATCTTCATACTTCAAGTCCAAGAAATGCTCTCACAAAAAGTTATCAATTTCAACATTATAGGTCATTTTCAAAAGTCAACAAAAAGGGACTTTAAGTCAAAGGCCATAACTTGAGATTGGTAAATCAAAATGACATGGGACCAAAAGCATTGGTTAGAGGACTCAAATACCTTTCCAAAATGTCCAAGAACATGTGAAAAGCTTAAAAATTGAGCAAGTTATGCCTTGTAGAAGTTGGGAAATTTTTGTGAAATGGCAAAAGTCAACTATCCTTGAAACTTCAATTTTTGACAAAAGGGCCCACTTTCTTCCACTTGATTCAGCCTTGTCATGCCACACACGTGTCCCATGATTAATTTCAAGACCAAATATTGATTTTTCTATTTTATTTAATTTTTGATAATTTAATTCATTTTAAATCTTTAAAAATTCAAATAAAATTCAAAAGTCAATGAAATAGTGTCATTTGAATTGGGATAGCTTCCATATATCATGGGCCAGCTCACAAACTCATGCTAGGGTTAAATTGCACACCAAGTCTTAGTTTGCTTAAAAAAAGGGAAAATTGGTTAATGGTGAAAACCCTAGGACTAGTTCTCTCATGGGCATGAATCAAGGCCAATTAACAAGCTAATTCTCTTCCATCATAAGCACTGAGTCAAACCCTAATCATAACACACTCTCAGCTGCGCAGAAAAGGCTAGTACCAATTTGAAATTTTTTCCATAAAACACAATTCTGAAATCACTATTGGAGGGGGATTCCAGGCATAAAAGTTTTTCTAATAGCTTCCTCAAGCTCTCCTGATCACATTGCCATCCCTAACATCCACTAAAACTCCAGGAATTGGTACATAGAACCCTCCCTGTACAGCAAAAAGTGACCATCGTGTTTTCCATTCTAAGCATCCTCATAACATTTTGGCTATTGATTCTTGTTCCTCGTAATGATCTGATGCTAACCATACCAATTAATTTCATTTTTGTGCAATATAGGCGATTTTGCCATTGTTAAATGTTAGGGTTTGCAGGTTTCAAAATTGGGGCTTTTCTGACCAAGTAAAATCAGCCCTCAAGACTATGATGGTCATACTCAGCAAGCCTGGATGAAGAAGACACACTATTCGCGAACAATTTATGGAGCTTATAGCGCTATTCGCTATTTTTCTAAAAGTCCCCTAAGGCCATGCGTGCAAAACCGTTTCCATAGGCTTGTGTTTCAGAAAAAAAATGAAAACAACGAAGGAGATGATGTGTTGTCTAGCAGCGATTGGCCAGTTTTGAATTTTCGCGCTTAGCCACTAACGCGTTTATTCTTTTCTTTTGTTATTTACTTATTATAATATGTTAACTAAAGCGTTGTAGCTCAGTGGCAGGGACATGTGTTGGTAACATCAAAGACCTGGGTTCGAACCCCAGGTCTGTGTAATATTTCATATTATTTTGCAATTCGAATTCCTATGCAGGCACAACGCTATGGTGCACCATGTACCATCATCATCCAGATGCCCACGTGTCCATCCAATCCACACCAAAGGCTTAGATTAAAAGAGTATGCTGCGCTTGAGTCAAACGTGTCACACATGATTCAGAAAGTCAAATAGGCCACTGCCTATTGGGCCAGATTCCACTAATTTGACCTCCAATTTTGGGGCCACCCCCCCTTGGTTTGCTTTTCTTTTCACATTTTATTTTCTTTAATTATTGTTCTATTTATTTTGTTGTTTTAATTCAGTAATTATTTTCTTTTTACAAAATATGAAAAAACATCATAAAAATCAGAAAAGGCAAAAAAATATATAATATTTATTTTATTTTAATTATTTTTTCTAAATAAATTAACATGTAAATTAATTTAGTAAAATAGGTTTTAACTTTAATTCCTTTTAATAAAAATCCAAAAATATAGAATTAGGTTAATTAATAATTTCTATTCCTTTTAAATTTTCCTTTTTTTATCACAATATTATTATTTATTTATTTTATTTTTATAATTAAATGTATATAAAAAACTTAGATTTAAATTAGGTTAAAAATTCAATCTTTTTCACAATAAACTTAAAAAACATTAGAATTAGGGTTTGACGCTTCATTTTAATTTTAATTAATTGTTTTTCTTTAAAATCTTAAAAAACACAAAATACCAAAAAAAAACATTCTTTTTTAATTTTAATTTTTAATTCCTTATTAACTTTAATTTGTTGTAAAAGGGTCCAACGCCCATGTCCATAATTTGTTTAATTTGCACATTTATTTTATATCGTTTAAATAATTATGTATATGTCCCAAAGCCTTGTAACAATTTTTATTTTCTCGCACTTTTATTTGCTTTATTTACTTTCTGTCAAATCGGGTTCGGTTTAATTTTGGCGATGTGGACCCGCGCCATTTGTAATAGTTTAGATTTATTTTCCCGCAAATATTAACTGTTAACCAAGCATGAAAGAATGAATGACCATAATAAAATCAAGCGTAGAACACCAATAACATGAACAAGACAAATACCAATGAAAACAACACACGAACCGCACACACCACCCCTAGGGTACGCCTCACTGTTGCCTTTCGAAAGGTGATCGTCGAGTAAAGGATGTCTTAGTAAGTCCTCATGATCCGGGAACCTGGCATGAGGGTAGCTTCTAAGGTGTCTTCCCATTGCTCCGGTGATCACCATGTCCCGAACCTCGAATTGACCCGAACACCTCCAACGGTGGTGCTACCTACCTCTCAATGGTGGGATGGCACTACTTTTAAGGACATCTACACAGACGAATTCCTTAGGGTAGGTAGGTTCTCAAGGATACTTGCTCTAATCTCAAAACAAACTCAAAAAGACTTTTCACACGAACACTTTTCAAAAGCTTTCAAAGCAAACTTTTCAAACACTCTGACGTACGAGTCGACCTGAAATTTTTCAAAGAAACTTTTTTTAAACCCACATTGAAAAGCAAACAAACAATTTTGAAAACACATTGAGCAAGTATCTAAGAGCCCATGGATAACCATGGATAGAAAGGGTGCTAACACCTTCCCTTTCTATAATCTACCTCCCGAACCGAGAGCAATCTCTTTAAGGAATTTTTCTGTGCTTTTGTCCTTTCCATTTGGAGAAAATAAAAGACGGTGGCGACTCTTGCTTCTGCGACATTTCGCGAACCAGCTTTAAAACAGTCAGTTCCAGATCCACCGATCACAAATTGCTTTATCGAGCACCATGAAATTGGGGCAGCAAATACTTGAAATAAGTAACCAGTTGTGCTTCTTCGATCTTCCTTATCTCCACACAAATCATCATTTGAATAGAAATTAATCACAAGTTCTTTGACTTCAGAACTTTGTGGAAACATAATTTTCAGTTTATCGACCCTTCTATGTATCTCAGGATTCTTCTTGCAACCTTCACGGGTGACACACTTGGTTCACTCATATATCTGCTCAGCAATCCAACTGAAAAAGCTATATTAAGTCGTTAATTTCACACATATCTCAGAGAT